TGCTTCTTGTTCTACCCTCAGGTACCTTGGGGAATAGTTTGACTCCCTCTTCTTTTGGGCAGCCCCTGAGATATTGGAACACTGTTATCATGTGTCTCTTAGTCCTTCTTTTCATTAAACTAGACATACCCAGTTCCTGCATAATAGTTACTGAAATAAATAATAATAATTGTTACGAAATACTGAATAATAATAGTTGTTACTGAAAGGTGATGTGGTCCAAGTAAATCTCAATTACCATTTACCACTTTGGGTGGTGTTTTTCTTTAGTCCCATGATGATCTACCATGGTGATTATATGCTTTGCCACCTGCAGATGGCAACATTTTGCTGTCTCAGATTGTGCCACCATAACAATTTTTTTACTATTTGTACTATTAAGTTGCAGAAGAATATTATCTAGAATTTATAAATTTCTTTAGCTGCTTAACAGAATGCACAGTGTATATTTTCTCTTAGATGCTTGAATGGGGGCACCAGCAGATATGACAAGGGATGGACAAACATTACCTTGCCCTGACTTCATTTCACAAAATGATGCATTTTTACAATTTGCATATTGATGTCATGATATACATGAAGTCACTGTGATTTACACCTGGTGCCCAAGTGCTTACACAATGCACCTTAGGTAAGCGATCCTTTCAATAAAATCTGTGGGCAGTCTCAAATCTGGTTGTTGGCCAGAAGCACTCAGCCAGCATGGGGGAGAAAATGGAGAGATATGGTCTTATATGGGCCCGGCAGCATCTACATGGACGCATGCATCTAAGATGTGCGCGCATGCATCAGCGCCTCTGCGAGCCTCCGTGATGCTCCAGCTGCTCAGCGGAGCATTGCGCAGGTGCTATGTGTGTGCACGGAAACACCAAAGATTTAAAAGATCGGTAAGGAGCTTGGGTGGGCAGGTGGGCCTTCCGGAGTACCGTACCGGAACAGTATCCGGTCCTACAGGCAGGCTCCGGTATGCCCATAACAGGGCATACCGGCTGCAACCCACCACTGTCTTATATGCACTTTCCTGAAGCAGCTTGAAGTGAGTGTCCATTTGCTTTAGAGAAATGAATCAGGTGATTACAATGTCCCAAAATATGTGGATCTTAGTTAAGTTGTAGAGGCATATTCGGGCACTGGCAATCCTTTGTAAACCCCTCAGAAACTGCCTAGCCCAATTAAACCCTGACCGCTCAACTCAAGCGAATAGAGTGCCTGAAGTTCTTCTCCTAACATGGGGTGTGATGGGAGGGCATACTGCCTTGGAACAATTTGCTTTTCCAAAGCAAGAATGACTCCCAATCTTAAGGCATTCCAGAGAATGGCTAAATCCTAGTTTTTCTGGAAGGCCTTTGGAGATTGAGCTGCCAGAGTTAAGATCTGTGCCAGATATTCTTTGTTATTGTCAAAGGCTGTGCTCTTTTTGTGGTATAGTTAGTTTCAGTGGTGGGATTCAACTGGTGTAACAATCGGGTCGCTTCGCGTGTGCCAAAAGCATGCTATGCGCGCACACCTTGCCTTTGAAATTATCACTAAATCTTACATTTTCCTGCAGCCCCAGTGAATAAAACAGCTGAGACGCAGCAATCTACTCTGTCGAGCCGATCAGCTGGGCTTGCAACAAAGGAAATACAGGACTAGAATAGAGCAGGAGTGGGTGGGCTGGGTCAACTGATCAGCGGAACTACCAGTTCATCCAAANGCTCCTCGCGGCAAATCCCACTCCATTCTAGCACTGATGATGTTATCTAGTTGGGTTAGGAAAGGTCTGCAAGAAAACGAGTTCAGAGAGCATCAAGGACCACATAGTTTTCCTCCGCTTCCTCCTCCCTCCTCTCCTCCTCCTCCTCCTCCTCCTCCTCCTCCTCTCTGCAAATCCCACTCCATTCTAGCACTGATGATTTTATCTAGTTGGGTCAGGAAAGGTCTGCAAGAAAACGAGTTCAGAGAGCATCAAGGACCACATAATCCTCCTCCTCTCCTCAAACAGCCCTCCCTCCTCCTAGCCCTGATGACGTTACCTACTTGGGTCAGGAAACGTCCTCCAGAAAGCAACCAGGAAAGTCCCCAAAACCCCTGCATTTGGGGGGACCGTACCGCTCCCCTTTCTGAGAACCAGCGCTCTCCCCCCCCCAACACCTTGTAATGCATCTGCCGTTGCGTCTTGTGAGCCTCTCTTCCCCGCGACATTTGTTGCGTTCCCTCCTTCCGGTTTGATGTGGATCGTTCCACCTTTCCTCCCTCCTTCCCACTCAGTTCTCTTGGCTGCCTCTCACCCCCCTCCCCCCCCCCGTGCGGTTGGTGGCCCTTAATGGCTCCTTTCCTTCCACCTCTTGTGCCTAGAGTCCAACGGGGACCTTTCGCAGTACAAGGGCAGCGTCTCCTGCTCCATGCAGAAGAAGGACGGGAGCATCCCCGGATCGGTCTACGTCGAATACGGTGAGCCTGTTTGCGTTGAGGGCCTTTTTGTCTTCGGAGTCTGTTCAAAAGGGGGCCAGAGGAGGTCCCCACAGAAGGCCTTCTCCACACCAGCTGCTGCCCCCGAGTCCAGAATAGATCAGACTCTGGAACCCACCAGGCAGGAGTTGAGGCCTGCTCGGTTGGAAGCCCAGAAAAATGATATGTGGAAGCAGCCTTCAAATTAGGACCTTTTGTTTAGCCTCCATTCAAAATGGCAACTTTCTCCCTCCACCCATCTCTCCTTCTCTCTGCCCACCCATCTACCCATTCATCTATGCTTCTATCATCTATTCATCCATCCATCCTTCTCTCACTTTTCCATCATCTCTCTCTCTCTCTCTCTCTTGTCTGTCTGTCATCTATACATCCATCTATTCCCCCCTCTCTCTCTTGTCTATCTATCTACTATCTATCCATCCATCTCTCTCTCTCTTGTCTGTCTNGGTGAATGGCCCCTCCCAGAGGGAATAAAAGAGGAGCGACGGGAGTGGAGTTTGCAGGAGGCCATTAGTCCATTCCTGCATCCTTGCCAAGTATTGCGGCCTCTCAAAGATCTCGGCCTGGTCACTCTCCAAGCCTGATAAAGGTCGGGAATTGTGAACTCTCTGGAAAGACAGTGGGAGAGGAAAGATTTTGCTGGAGGGGAATTCACTGTAAATTAAATAAAAGGGGTTTATCAGCACAAAGACTCGGCGTACCGGAGCCTGCCCGGAACACCAAGTACCGTTCCAGTACGTTGCTCCAGAGTGCCTGCCTGCCTGCCCGAGCTCCTTACCTGTCCTTTAAGCCTTCAGCGCTTACGTGCATGGCGCATACAGCGCCTGCGCGATGCTCCGCCGAGCAGCTGGAGCATCGCGGAGGCTCGCGGTAGCGTCGCTGGCAGGTACGATGCATGCGCGTGCGCTGCGAGCGTTTATGTGGGCGACGCCGGGATCCGGAACCCACCACTGATCAGGTCGTTTAAGCTTCCTCACTTTTGCAGGTCTGAAAGCGACCGACAGCGGATCGTACTTCAGCTCCCAAGACTCAACCTGCCCCTCCGACTCGGGCTCTGCGGAAGAGGTGGATGAGTACGAGATCCGAGGTAGGATGACCTCCGTAGAATGAGTATATGATACTCTTCATTTACAAGTGTCAGAGCACACACACAGTGTGACTACTATTACACCCATCCTCCGCGAGCTGCACTGGCTCCCGATCGGTTTCCGAACGCGCTTCAAGGTGCTGGTTATCACCTTTAAAGCCCTACATGGCCTAGGACCTGGATACCTTCGGGACCGTCTTCTGCCACATACCTCCCAGTGTCCGATAAGATCTCACAGGATGGGCCTTCTCCGGGTGCCGTCAACTAGACAATGTCGTTTGGCGGCTCCTCAGGGGAGAGCCTTCTCTGTAGCTGCTCCGGCTCTATGGAACAATCTACCCCCAGAGATCCAGACCCTCCCCTCTCACGGCCTTCCGAAAGTCTATTAAGACCTGGCTTTTCCGGCAGGCC